CTTGACTTGAGTGATCGGACGAGAACTGTAGAGTACCAACGCAACGTGATTTGATCTGTTTTAAAAACTATATTGTTATTTCCCCAAGGACATATTCCCCCACGGACAAACTGGTTTTTGTTGTTGAACAGTTCGGCCGCAGGGGGAAGTGATCCGCGCAGTTAGGTGAGCTCACGTGGGCAACCGGCTTCGAAACCACAGCATCGTTTCGGCAATCACGTCCGCATATCCGTTTTCGAAGATTTTTCACTTCGGACAGCAAGCAGCGAAAACTGAACTTGGAGGATGAAAAATTGTTGAGCCACATAATAGACAAGCATTTATCGTTACGTTGCCGGCTGTGCGGTGATTTATTTGTATCCAGAGAAGACTTCAAGTCCATTGGTAATATAATTCGCGAAGCAAATTGTTTTTAATAAATAAGATCTGACAGTCTGCACGTACTCGTGAAAATCGAAAAGCATCATCGTCCACGAGAATTTTAGAACCAAATTTTCGACAAGTTTTGTTTTATTAGAAACGATTATTGTTTACATATTTACTGTACTTAAGTATTACATAAAAATAATTGATTGAAAGAAATTAATGTAAACTCATGTTTTATTCGCTTGAATTTTAAATAATATGAAGATTACAGTCCTCTAGAAGGAAATGACCGTCAAATATATAATGCTTTTCTTCTCTATAGTTTTGTTACTTGGAATAAGCATGTAGAATATTATAATATACAATCAAATCGAAATTAAATTAAAATTTAAGGATATAAGATACATAAACTAATGCAATTCTTATATAAATAATAAATTTAAATTTCTCCATTAAAATATTCTCTAAAATTATGCATAATGCATAAATTTCAAGTCTATAAATAGATCTTTTATCTTCAACGTCGAGTATTTTTTTATGGCAAGTATGTTAATTCCACATTTTTAACTGAATTTTCAGCTGCGTGTAAGTGGTTTGAACACGTGGGATCAGGTTATTCGTAAATTGGAGGAGATGGCGAAGCGAATGAGTGACGTACAGTCGGGCACGTCCTCGCTGTCGTCCTTTAGCAACAAGGATCAAGAGATCCATTACCTACAGAAGTTCCTAAAGGAGAAGGACAAGGTAATCAGGCAGATGAGTGATGATAGCAAGAGTTTGCAGCGAGCACTGGAGACTATAAAAAGCAAAATGAAAGAATCGGGTAATATTGTGGAACTAAGAAGAGAATTGAAGGAAGAACGTAGGCTGAACGAGGAACTGCGAGATACAGTGCAGAGGTTGCAGAAGGAGTTGCAAGACTTGCAAGATGTGTCTGTGCGACGTTCGCATCAGGAGGATAGCGATATCGAGGACATGGTCCAGCAAGCATTGCATATCTCTGTACGATTGGATAAGCAACTTATGGAGGTAATTAAGAATGATGAAGTCGTGAATGGAATAGCAACCGAAGATCAAAGGACGAATATACGCAAGGACAACGAATTAGTAAGGAGATTAGAGGATGATTTAGAGATCGAACCAGATATAACGAGACATCAGATCGCTGAGTACGAGGATCGTATCCTGCAATTGAAAGCGGATTTGACAGAGGAGACGAAGAAGGTGGTTAAGTTGGACAAAGAACTTATATCAGAGAGGAACGCGGTGGAGTTCTTGAAGACGCAGATAGAAGAACATCGTCGGATGGCGGAATTAAAACAAATACGGGAGAGTAAGTTAATCGAGTTCTTGCAGACAAAGTTGAAAGCCTCTCTAGAGAACGAGGAGAAACTCCGTAATGATCTAGCATCGATGAATATGGAAGTCGAAAATGCCAGTAGAAACTTGCCGAACTTTGCTGCAACTGTTCAAAATGAATCGGACAGGTACGCGTTAATTTTTAATTTATTTTTTAAATTTTTAGTACTTTTACATATATTAGTTATGTCTATCTGCCTATAATCTTTTCTCGGCAAACATTGATATCTATGCCGATAGAATTTAATTATATTTTAGCAAAACAAGATAACCGCAAGAGATTGAAGTTGTTCCGTAAGCAATATTTTGTTTCCTAATCTTTCTTTTTATATTTAAGAACGAGCGAAAATCTTGAGGAAAGCCGCGAACATAATGCGGAACTACGAGAGGATATGGAGAACGAAATGAGTATAAAATACGAGAAGTTAGAGATCCCAATGGAGGAACGAGAAAGACTAATCAACAGCCTAGCGTTGACCAACGGACTGAAAAAAATCCTAGAGGTGGATCTGGGGAGAACTACAGAGGAGTTGACACTGGCATCGAATCATTCTCCGGCCCGTGAGAGAAAGGGCGACAATGTCAGTCAAAACAATAATCAGGTACATTATTTTTATGAAACCTATAAAACTAAAGCGATTGAAAGAAAACAAGTACAGACGATAGGTGCTCAGCCCGCACCTAGAGTCATAATAATACCACTATCCACGAGCACATCGGTTACACCAAAAGTGCCGATCCTACCACGACCTGTAAACGTGCAGATGGTAGGAGCAGGTCAAAGTGCAGTATCACGTGCAACATCTACATCCAAGATTGACAAGAAACGTCATGCGGCGAACGAACAACAGCCAGAATCCAGCCGAGAGAAGAAAAAATACGAGAACCACAAGAAGCGATTGTATAAAATACAATCCATTCAAAAAGTTAGACCGCCATCCAAAATTTCAACCAGGGTAAAGGCGAAGAAAGCCCTCGAATTAATTAAGAAGCAAATGCAAGAACCGAGCAGCGACAGCGAGCTGAGTGAGGATGAGAGGAGCATCGAGCAGCGGCAACCTATCCAACCTATCAAAAGCCCGAACTCGTCCAAGAAGCAGATCTTGACCAAGAGCGGGGCGTGTATAATATACAATGTACCAGCCAAATCAGGACGCTGACGAGATGCCACCTGTGCAGTCCGAACAATAATCAGGTATATTACTTTTATAAAACCTATAAAGATTTGAAAGATGATTATATCGAAAATCTTTAATAAATATCTAAAAAGGATAAGCAGTATTCAACAAGAAAGTATGCACTTCTAATTAAGAAATATTACATGTTCCATTGTTTAGTTTCGTTGGAGAAAATATCTTACTGAAATTATGATCAGTTAGCTCAATCAATCACTGACTCAAAAACCAGATTTTTTTATTTGTCAATGTGATTACGTTTAATTTAGTTCGACTGTTTGGTTAAATACGAAATGTACTTCTCGCATTATATTTTAATTAATTATTAAAATTATTATGCATTATATATCGACGTGTATGTTTCAGTGGAAGTAGCGAGCAGTATTAATCCAAGAAGTAAGAAATTTCCATATTCTCAAAGAGACACTCCGCTCAGTCATGGCAGAGTATGGTACTAGTCATGTTATGATAACATTAAAGGTATATTTTTAAACTATGTAGAAGTTTAGCTGTACAGGGTTAATATTTGGACTATCATGTTCGAATAGTATTTCATACAGTTCACGTTTTTTTTAATGGCTGTGCGATTTTTTAATTCTTTTAGATTTTTGGAAAAGTAAATATATTCGAAATGTGATTAATTTTGGATCCCTAAATATGTAGATTTCGACATCTTAAGATCTTAGTTAAATAATGAAAATTAATTAGCGTTTTTCTATCAAATTATAAAATTCTTGAAAATTTAAATTTTCTTATTGATACACCGCATTTGATATACTCGCATTTTTGAAGTGGTTGAATCTTTGCAATGTGAAGTTGTCCGATTCTACTTTATCATTTATTATATTTATCATTTTTGATGAACGCGTTCTGTGTATTATGTGATTAAATGGCAATCGTCGACGATCGATCTGCATGGGATTTCTATTTCCGTTGCGTTTTTTAGTATATATATTAATATATAGAAGCAATGCGAATTAATAAATGTAGAATAATAAATTTATTTCCTTACAATTCATACATGATGTTTAACAAAATACGTGTACACTTTGCAACAATAAACGCTTAAGTTACAACATACGTCTAAGTGAGCTCTTAATCTTTTACAAAAATTTAGAAACGATTCAGAAACTCAGATCAATTCGATTAAAAATTATATACACCCGCTCGCCTTTATATCTAGAAAAGTTACCGTTCTTCAAATACCAGGGTTCCACAATGTATGTATATCTAAAATATTTACGTTGAGAAAATGCAGGTACAAACGTATCCCATAAACTTAAGTTCATAAATCTAAACCCATTTTTCGAGTCTTAGTAATATAAATTACGGGAATAATTATTTTAAAGACTTGGATAATAATATGCATTCAGACCAGTTTTGCTTTGGTTACCCAAGTATACGGATCAATGTATACGGATCAATCCTTCAACATGGTTACATTCTGATGATCTTGCATTTTACTTAAGTTATGTAAATTATCCCACCAATGCAGCAGTTTAAATTTGTAGATCAGACGGAACCACGGTGTCAGCAACGACGTGGTCTTCATAAAATTGTCGATCTCCGATCGCGACACCCATCGAGTCTCGCTCACTTCGTCAGGATTAGGCTTTATGGTGATGTTATCTCGTTGCAGAAACATTATGTAATCGATCTCGTGTTCACCCCAACGATCGTTGCTGGGCGCTTGATAGCGAATTCTTGTCAGGTAAAATAGATCGGAAGGCTTGATCTCGCTGCTAGGTATGCCCAGCTCGTAGCCGAGCCTTCTTATCGCGGCTCTGCGCACTCCCATAGCGTTTTCTTCTTCCGTTTCGTCGGGAATCTCGGCTAACGGATGGCTGCAGCACGTATTTGTATAGTAATCCGGGAATGTTATCTATAACAGATTTACATTCATATAAATTGTGCATATATATATATTGACATTTGCAGAAATACAAGGATAATTGTTTTGCACTAAGAATTTTGTTTTAATTCAAGATTTGAAACAGACATTTTTTCAGTTCCTAAAATATTTAATATCACACGTTAGAAAGTCACAACAAACAAAACTTGAGAATCCAATTTAAAGACTAAAAGAATATTAGCTCCAATATAATCTCTCTCAAAAGAATGTTAGTTTTTTTAATTCATTACAGAATATACAAGTTTACTATCAATTTCTACAGGTTTTTATGGAAAAGTCTTGTATTTTCAACTAAATCATTCAATAACTTTCACTAGAGCCTGATTATACCATTTTTACTTCCTTAGCTAACATACATATTTAAAATTATATTTAAAAATAGCAAGCATGAAAGTGTGTTCTCACCTTAACATTTGATCGTTTCTGGAGTAACAATTCTCCTTTACTATTGAACAGAAAGACGCTGAACGCCCTGTGGAGCGGGACACATCCCTCCGTATCGATCTCATGACAAGCTTGCTTGGTGGCTTCACCGACGGGTCGGTCCAGCTTGTCCACGAGGATACAGCGTTCCTTTAAAGCGGCCCTTTGCAACGGCGCTACTTGCGCTGTTCCAAGATCTTTCTCCACAATCGCCGTTACCCTGTTCATGATACCGTTGAGATTCCTGTACGTCTTGATCATCACCAGTCAGCTGCCAGCCGAATAATGACTGGAAACATGAACATGCATGATATATTTATCTTATCTCGTATATGATTTATTCGTAGAAGAAAATGGTTACGTGTTACGTCGAATATTCGGTTGACGACAAAAAATGAGAGGTGGGAATTAATTGACACGAGGAGCAAGAACGTGCACGTGTGTACGTACCACGTAATATGACACGTCGAGAAGACGATCGGTCCCGGCAGCGTTTACGAGCGTCGTCCGAAACTCCGAATCTCTGAGCGGGTGGGATAAATTCCGGCTAATCGCGAACCGTTCGTCTACACGTGAGACTTGCGTGAGAGTGACGTCGAGAATGACGCCCGGCGACGAACGGGAATTCCTTCGCGAGTCGCGACCTAGAATGCGATCGTCCGTTCGACCGTGCAATTGCGAACGATCGCTTGTCGGCCTTGTCGCCCTTCACTTTCCCAATTTTCACATACTTCCATTCATCGCCCCAAGTCGGGTCCCGCGTCGAATGATCGTTCGACGCGCATGCGGTGCATGACGCAGTGAATGAGTGAATTCAGCACCGATCGCGTAATAATTTTTCACTTTCACACACAGCAGCTTAATCGAATTCCGACCGTGAATTTCTTCGCGAATCACATCATTTGTTTGGATCACTAACCTCAAATTTGATTTCTACAGCTGAATTGTTCGGACTTGTCGCCTTTCTTCTTTTCCTCTCCAACATTTAATTAAATACCCATTTCATTTTAATTTAAACGCGAAAATTTAAATATTGATGCTTTCCTGCGAGACGCAGAGAGAACATAACACCGTAATCAACACGGAATGCACTTTACAGCTAATCTCTCGCATCACTTATTCTTTCTTCTTTTTTCCTACCAACGTCTAATTATGTTTCTATCAAATTTTACATGTGATTTCACGTCTGATTGTCTGAAGACACTATCGGAAAACATGTCCTTATCTAGGGCCGATATTCATATTCATTACTAAATAATAAAATAATTATAATTCGTGAACGTTAAAAAGTTACAAACTGTATTATCGACGGCTGATTCAACATGACCCATCGGTTAATTTATAGTTAACAAATGTATGAGAAAAATATTCAACAGTTTACAGAGAGGCAGCTGTTTCGTAATAGAATAGAATAGAAAAAAGAAGGAACGGGACGGAGAGAGGGGCTGAATAATTCTCCCCAAAGCCCGCAAAGGCCTATTCGCGATCCGAATTTGCGGGTCCAAAGATGCGATCCACTTGGCGCTTCAAGCTCCAGACGCTCTTAGAAACATTTCATCCTTGTTGTTTTTAAAATGTTAAACAAGAACAAAATGATTCTAGGTCGCGAAGGAATTCCCGTTCGTCATTTTCGACATCACTGATCACTCTCGTATGTAAATCAACGTTCCGCGATTGGCCCGTTCGCTCAGAGACGGGATTCTGTAACTCCGATCCTCTCGACGTGTCGTGCCACGTGGTACGTATATTTACATACACGTGCACGTCCTTGCTCCTCGTGTCAATTAATTCCTACCTCTTGTGCGGTTTTGTCGTCAACCGAATATTCGACGTAACGTTCTTCTACGAATAAATTTTCCGCATATGCGAGATAAGATAAATATTATTGCATGCACGTTCATATATCCAGTTCATGCTCGTTATTCGGCAGGCAGCTGGTTGACGATGATCAAGGATGAGGATCAAGGCGTACAGGAATTTCAATGGTATCATGCACAAGGTAACTAGGATAACGGTGCTTGGAGAAAGATTTTGGGACAGCGCAAGTATAGCGCAAAGAAACGCTGTATCCTGGACAAGCTGGACATAGACCTGTTGGTGAAGCTGGGTGAAGCCACCAAGCAAACTTGTGACTTGTCATGAGATCGATACGGATGTCGAGAGATGCCTCCCGCACTCCACAGGGCGTTCAGCGTCTTTTTGTTCAATAGTAAAGGAGAGAATTTTTACTCCAGAAACGGTCGAGTGCTAAAGTGAGAACTCCCCTTTCATGCTTTCCACTTTTAAATATAATTTTATATTTTAGCTAAAGAAGTAAAAATTGAATAATAAGGTTTCAGTGAAATTTATTGAATGATTTAGATTTTAGATGAAAAAACTTTTCCATAAAAACCTGTAAAAATCAATTGTAAGATTGTATATTCTATAACGAATTAAAAAACATTCTTTTAATTATATATTCTTTGAATTGGATTCACGTTTTTGTTTACCGTAACTTTCTAACGTGTGATATTAAATATTTTGGAAATCGTAAAAATGTTTGTTTAAAAGCTTGAATTAAACAAAATTCTTAGTGCGAAACAATCGTCCTCGCATTTCTGCCAATGTCCAATATATGCGTTTCTTGTTGTAAAGTGTACACATATTTTGTTAAACATCATGTATGAATTGTAAGGAAATAAATTCATTATTCTACATTTATTAATTCGCTTCTATATATATCTGTCTACAATATCTTTCATTTCCACATCTTTCCTAATCAATTTATTTTCGTATTTTTTCATATTCCCATGACTATAATTCGTCACATTGTTTCCGGACCGTGAACTACATTTACAGCTCTTAACCAGCGACTTCTTCATTATTTTGTCAATTTTAAAGGATGCCGTTGCGTAGATGTAAGTATGCGCTCATTTAACCGTCCGCTTGAGGCGTTCCCAATTATTTGGACGTCTTAATCAGTACGTCACTCGTTGCGTCAACGATATCTATCATTGTAGCGAAAGCCGCTTTTTAAAATATTCTAAAAATTTTATGCCATATTAATAGCTGTGATATAATCTTAGTAATCGTGCTATATATTTTCAGTAACGCCAGGTTAAAAAATTTTAATTTTATATGATAATATATATTGTTAATTTCTTTTAATTTTTAACTTATATATTTTTGACTATAGAACCTCAGACATAAGAACGAAGGAGTCCTGCGTTCTTCTCCTCTAACGCTTCTCTCTTACATTACGTTTTCTAAAGTCTACGCGATCGTATAAGCAGTCGCGGGGGGAATTAGATAAGTAGAGAAAATGGGTTGTAAGACGAGAAGCAACCCAGTTTAAGACACGTTATCCTCGTCATTATCGCGATTATTAGTACATCTTCCTTTCCCTTCCTTAGTTCCTTCTCGCCTTGATCCATTCATGACGCGCTCTTTCGTGGGTGGGCTATATAAACGTGTTTGTGTCTTCTCTATGCTCCTTTGTATTACGCGAGAGCTCGTCGGTATACATAT